GATGGACTGAGGTCCAGCCAAGGGCGGGGGCCCGGGGCAGCCCGCGCTCCCACTCCCCTGGATGAGGCCTTGGCGTGGCCTGAGGTCCACAGCGGGGGAGCGGGACCCGGCCGGTCCACGCGCAGGGAGCCGGGGGCCCGGCGCCAAGGCCAGCGTGGCCTCCTTCCACAGAGAGGAAGGGCAGCACCAGGCCTGCCAGCCACGGGAAGCCGCGAGCCAGGGTCCCGCAGCCCCGCTCCGCTCGCAGGGCCAGCACGCGCGGCAGGAGCCCCGGGCCCCGCCCCCTGCAGCTCTGGGGCCTCGGAGCAGCCGGGCCCCTACACCCACCTGAGCAGAGGCCTGAGCGTTCCAGAAGGGTCGGAAGGCAGTGGTACTGGTCAGGGCTCTCCGGAGAAAGAGGACCGACGGCCTGTGCACTTGGGCAAAGATTTACGTTAGGGAATCTGCTCACACGACCGTGGGGCTGACGTGCAAACTCTGCAGGCAGGCCGGCAGGGAAGAGTGGGTGCCGGGACTCGGTCCAAAGGCCAAGGCCAGCTGCGGGGAATCCCTCTTCCTGGGGGACCTCGGCCCTCTTCTTCTTAAGGAGGCCTTCAACTGATTGGAGGAGGCCCACGCTCACCACAGAGGTCAGGGGCTCCACCCAAGGTCAACTGACATCGGTGTCAACCGCATTTGAGAAGCACCTTCACAGAAACACCTGGAGACCCGCGTTGGACCAAATATCTGCGTCCTGAGGCCTGGCCGAGTCGACCCGTGAAATCAGCCCTCACAGCGGGGCCTGGGGCCTGGGCCCCTTCCCGGCGCATCCGCAGTGGAAACGTCCTTTCCTGTCCAGCTGTCGGCTTCGTGGGTGTCACGAGAACATGGGGCGGACGAGGTGCTGAAACACATACACGTGCAAGCAGCCTGTTCGAGGGAATCTACTCAGATCTTCCCGCCACGTCCTCTAAAGGCCACGTCGGCTCATCCCTTGGTAGTCTTGGGAGAGAACACGGCTGTGGGGCGGACACCACACCCCTCTCAGATGCGGCCGGTGACCACTTCTGGCCCCATGGGAAACAGTGGCTTGAGGCTGCAGAGGTCTCTGCGGCTGCATTTCAGCTCTGAGCGTGCGATGCCTGTGAACCCTGAGGCACCACCGTGACTTACCCAATTTGGTGGACCACAGAGGAAAAGGGAAAAACATCCAAGTTGCCAAGGAAACCACTTTGAATACATTTTACGATGTTGTGAAAACCGTACCTTCCAAGGGGGCTGGGTTACACTCCGGGCCGTACTATCGCTGTTACTGTGACTCTGCCCCCACTGCCACCCCCTCGGTCAGCGTTGGGGGGACACTCGGCCACAAAGCCGAACTCCCTCAACAGAACCAGCAGTGTCCCCGTCCCCGAATTGCTCTCCCAAGGCCCTCCTCAGACAGCTTTTTGTGGCAGGAGGCGTCAGGAGCCCCTGGAGAGGGTCCCCACCCCACCCGTCACCATCTCCTGGTGATTCCACAAGGAACACGCCGCCCATAACACAAACCACACGGTCGTGGCGCCAGGTTCGCCCCCAAAGACAATCACGGAACTCGGCTCTGACGGCCTTTAATGGATGAGCTAGAGCAACGCCCAGCCCCAGAGCAGCAGAGAAGACGCAGACAGACGCCCCCGGCCCACAGGGCGTCAGTGGAAGGGCGAGGAGGTAGGGACACGCAGGAAACACAGGAAGCAATGTGCACACCACTCACACTGCTCTAGAGAAGTGCAGGATGCTCGGACACACACGCGCACACGCATGCTCACGCCCACACTGAGGGCCCAGCACTCCCAGGGCAGAAGGGCGGGTCCAGAGCAGGGATGCAGGGGCAAGACACGGCCGCGTCTGGGACCCACTACCTGGCATCGGCGTGTCCCTGGGGAAGGACCCCACAGGTGAGGTCAGACTGCACAGCCGTGGGGCTCACATTCAAAGCTCCCACTGTCACAGTCCCTGTAAGCTCTGTGAGGAACCCCGCTGACCCGTCTTTCACACGGCTTCACAATTTTTCTACCCGTGGCCTTGGCCCCAGAGAATAACGGACGACTGTCTGTGTTGGCCAGAGCTGCTCACTCCCTGGGCCTCAAAGCCGAGGCTGCAAACTCAGTGGCCTGCAAGTGTGTGCAGAGCCCGCCGGGGATGCAAGGGGGCAGGGTGAGGACTGGGGCAAAGTGGGGAGCGTGTCACACCCGGGGCAGCCGCCTCTCGGGTCCAGCTGGCTGCAGCCAGGCAGGGATGCAGATCCAAAGCGGCCAAATCCAGACGTTCAAGAAGAAGAGATCCAGGTTTTCATGGAAAATACCTGATTTTTATTTTATTTTATTTTATTTTATTTACTTTTTGGCTGCATTGGGTCTTGGTTGCTGGGCACGGGCTTTCTCTAGTTGCAGCGAGCGGGGGCTACTCATCGTTGCGGTGCACAGGCTTCTCATTGCGGTGGCTTCTCTTGTTGAGGAGCACGGGCTTTAGGCGCGCGGGTTTCAGTAGTTGTGGCATACGGGCTCAGTAGTTGTGGCTTGCGGGCTCTAGAGCACAGGCTCAGGAGTTGTGGCGCACGGGCTTCGTTGCTGCGCAGCATGTGGGATCTTCCCGGACTGGAGCTCAAACTCGTGTCCCCTGCATCGGCAGGCGGATTCTTTTTTTTTTTTTTTTTTAGCATCTTTATTGAAGTATAACTGCTTTACAATGGTGTGTTAGTTTCTGCTCTATAACAAAGTGAATCAGCTATACGTATACATATATCCTCATATGCCCTCCCTCCCACCCTCCCTATCCCACCCCTCTAGGTGGTCACAAAGCACCGAGCTGATCTCCCTGTGCTGTGCGGCTGCTTCCCACTAGCTATCTGTTTTACATTTGGTAGTGTATATATGTCCATGCCACTCTCTCACTTTGTCACAGCTTACCCTTCCCCCTCCCCGTGTCCTCAAGTCCATTCTCTAGTAGGTCTGCATCTGGGCAGGCATATTCTTAACCACTGTGCCACTAGGGAAGTCCCCTGATTTTTAAATAGTGACAATTAATTCAAATTTAAAAAAAAAAAAAAACACGGTGCAGGCCAGTGCAAACCCCAACACCCCTTGTGTCCGACGGCAGGCTCAGCTGCATTTGGAGAGTGTGAGCAACTTTCTGCTGGAACGTCCTCCAGAAACCACGAGCCAGACACTGGCTACCTTCGCAGGAGGATCTGAGATAAAAAGCACAGACCTCGAGGGACCACAGTTCCCTCAAAGTCCTGAGAGTAGAGCCCCGGAAATGTTCGGAGTCAAGCCGTAACTTTCACCCCGGGGGCTTGCTTCTGGGGAGAGCAGGCGTGAGCCTTTGAGATGACCTCTCTGAGGTCACGGCCGGGGCGGGAGCTGAAACGCAGGGTTTGCGGCCTCTCAGGTCTACGGAGGGGAGACCTGGCTGGCAGGAATCATAATTTGTTCTGTCTGTGGTTTTACCCCTTTCTTTCAAGAAACATTGTTGAACGAGTCACCCACCCCAGGACAGGAATGCTGCCTGTGGGTGGATCCCTCAGCAGGGTTCCTGCAGAAGCACCCCCAGCCCTGGGTCTCAGGTGGGAACCACGTCCATCATTCAGCTGCAACCCCAAGGGCCCTCCGGCCCCAGGCTCAGTGCCGAGACGTGGACCGGTAGGTAACAAAGGTCCCGGTTCCCAAACGCACACTGTAAAGCTCTGTGCTGCAGCCACCAGGACCCTCCTGAGGTGGTTCTCCTGCTGACCCCACAGCCTTCCAGATCTTTCCTGCGTGATCAGCAGGCAGGTGGCGGGAAGAACCACAGGCACGCCCTCCCAGGAGGGGCTGCTGCAGGACCCCAGATAAAGTCCCCACGGAACTCGCGGGTCACAGGGCGGGACTTTGTTTGTGGACTGAGGCACAGAGGCGGGCAGGCGCCAGCCAGCAGAACCCGGAGCATCCTCGCCGACAGCAGCAGCCTGGGAAGTCACTTCTGTTGTTTTAAACCAAGAAAGTGGCTCCAAGTCCGGCGATGTCGGCCAAATGCCACCAGGGGCTGAGCCTTTGTCACTTCCTTTCTGTGCACCAACCCCAAGGCTGGTACCACTCTCTCTGGACGGCACAGTGACCCCCTCTGCGGCTGCGGCCGCGACCAGAGCGGGCTTTCAGACTCGAGCCGCCCCAGCCTCTGCCGCGCTGAAGGCTCCTCTTCTCCGACGGCAAAACGTGCAGCTGGAGCGTGTGTTTTCCCGGGCAGGCGACGTAAATTCTTCCCGCCAGGAGGGCCAGGGAAGTAGGAAGTGAGCCAAACTCACATAGTTTTGGGTCTGTGTCATGGGGAGGGTCCCATGGCGAGGCGGCCCCAGGGACCGTAGCCTAGGCGCAGCCCCAGGCGGGGGGGACACAGCGGTCATGCAGCTGCTCACCCCCATCAGTGACAGGCTGAGCGTGGCGGCTTCGGATTACGGCCCAGAGCCAGCTGTCGCGGTGGTGGGGGATGGAGGAGGGAACAGTGACTCACGCGGGTCCAGGTGGAGAAATCTGGCGCCAATCTTCCAAATTAAACTTTTAACTGGAGACCACTGATATTCACACGCAGTTGTAAGAAGCAGCACAGAGAGATCCCACGTGCCCTCAACTCACACATCTCCCCCAAGAGGATGCACTCGTCACGCCGGGTTCCGGCTCAGGGCGCCCCCCACACCCCGGCCGTGTCCCGATCCCCACGTTCACCTTCACACCTGGTGTGCTCAGTCCGTGCAATTTCTGCACGCGTGTAGGCTCGGGCACCCGACCCACTTCCTCAGAGGAGACCCCGTGATTCTCAAGGGCGAGGATACCCAGTGGGAGGCCTGTCCGCATGCAGGATGAAGGTGGTGGGGGAACGGAGCACAGGGATCAGGGATGCTGGTCCCCAGGGGAGGGGCACGTGCAGACTGGGCGTCCCCCACTCCCGGGCGGCCCTCCTCGGCTGGGGACCACGCAGAGCCCTCCCCATGCCCAAGCCGGACTCACCTCTGTGATGATGAAGAAGTCGTCCCCAGGCTCCCCCTGGACCACGATCTTCTCTCCGTCCTCAAACTGGACGGGCTCCAGTGCGTCAGCCACAGTCAGACGCTCCCACTTCTCCAGGGACTCTGCAGCAGGGGACACGGGGGCGTGGGGGTCACGGGGGCCAGGGAGGGTCGGGGGGTCAGCTCCCCACCCCAGACAATCTAAGAAAACACCCACATGGCCAGCCCCAGGGTGATGAGGCTTTGCTCCATCACAGGATGAACAAAACAGAAAGCAAATTTCTGTGCAGGAGGCCCGGGTATTTTCACAAGTGAGTTGGGCCCAGGGTGTACATGGCTCAGCAGGTGGACAGGGCTTCAGAACTGGGAGCGATTCTAACCTACATCAAAGGTTTAACGTAGATGACAGGCACTGGACGTTGAGTCCAAGTTAACTCAGGATGAAATGCCTTTGTTATCTTCAGAAGAACAGAGCTGCCTATATTTTTGCAAACAGTATAATCACAGCTCAGCACTAGGGCTACCAAGGGGTTTAAATAATTCAGAGGTCGAAGCAATTTCCTGTTCATAAGACACCATTCAGTGCCATTCAAAGAGCATACAACTGTATTTACGTGGCTAGAGGTGTAGTATACCTTCCATTATTTGGGGTCAAAATACTTCATTCCAATGGCAAGTGTACTTTGATACTTGCAAATTCTGTCTATCTTTCCACCCCTTCTCACGCCTTCCCTTCCCCGTCACTATCCACCCCTAGCCCTCAGGAAGGAAAAAAATACCCGCGTGCTCCTTTTGTAAGAACTTAATGGTTGCCTGATTAACTGTTTCTCTTTTGGCCAAAGAAACTTTTCTGGCCTACACTTATCAGCTGCACTATGTAGGTCAGCCGCTAAAAATACAAAGCAAAGCATTTATTTTAGATCTCGAGTAGGAGGGGGATTTCTCTGCTTGAAAACTCCTGCCAGGGCCACACGCTGAAAAGGACACGCTTTTGACCAAGCCCGGGGCTGCGGCAGATTCTGGAGCGGCTGCCAGCACGCTGGTCCAGCAGCCTCCGTACCGGACGGGAGCTGCCCCGTGACGCAGACCCCGGCACCCTCAGGAGGCCGGCATGGCGGCGAAGACGCCCGTGACTTTGGAGGGTCACGGTTGGTGCCGAGGTGGAAGCTGGTGCCGGTAAACGTGTGACTGCTGCTTGGTTTCCTTCCAGGGCGATGAGAGGCGTTTGATTTCACAGCCTTGGGCTTAGGAAGTTCTCGTCCTCCTGTGTGAGCGGTGGGTTTTCCTATTGGATTTGAGACCTGGAACCCCAGTCCCGAGGTCGGAGAGTCAGCGCTTCCACCCTCAGCAGCGTAAATCCCAGGACAGAACTGCTGGAAGAGACGGAGATCGGGGCGATTCCTTGGCCCTGATTTCTGAAGCGGAAGCTTTGGGGGCATTTTTACTGCGTTCAGATCCCTGGGTCCCAGGTGTGGACGGTCAGCTCAGGTGGGAAATCGGTGACTGGCCGGGTGGGGCCACTCCCAGTGCTGCCCTTCTGGAGGGGGGTCTCAATGCTGCCAGGGAAAGTGGCGGACACCCCGCAGAAGAGACACAGAAGGCAGCCCTCAGTCAGCGGCGGCCAAGGGGCAGGCACACCCACCCGGAACAGACTGGCCTCGGGGCCGACGCTTCGGGAGAATGCGGACCCTCGGGCCCTGCCTCACGGCCGCTGCCGCCCAGCCCTGAGCCTGACCCCGGCTCCCCTCCCAGGAGACCCCCTTTTCCTGCCTGGAGGCCTGAAGCCTGCTTTTCCCCTTGAAATAGGGTCAGGGCAGGCCCCCTGAGCTGCCTCTACTACCTCCCTGGAGCAGGGGGGCCGGGAGGGACGTGCCGGGTGGGCAGCCATCCTGCAGCAAGTTCATCTCCACATCCGTCCCCCAGGCCTGCGCCGTGTCCTCTGCCGGGGGACCTGACCCCGCTGCTGCCCGGCTGCCCCCCACCTTCCCCCCACCCCCTCACGCCACCCCCACGTCAGCAACTCCAAGCAGTCGTGTCCTTCTTTTTGTAATTTGGAAAAAAAATAATCAGAAAAGTAGAATGAACAACACAGCCAGCATCTGTCCTGAATGAAGTCACAGGACTACTTGGTCATGTTTGCTTCAGAGCTGCTCCTACAGACACACCATGTTACTGATAAAACCGCGTCCCTTTGTCTCAATTCGAGTTCTCTCTCCTTCCGCAGAGGCTGTGACTATTAAGGATTTGGTGGATATATTTTTTTTAAATCTTAAAGGGTTTGGTGAGTTTCCACCCCATAGGTGGTCTTACACCTTTACTGTAACATAGCTTCGTAAACATGACCCAGCATTGCCAAAATTGTGCAGAGACGCACCGTCATCTGCACCATCTTCTGTGTCTGAGATCCATGTTGAAACGTGTTGACACGCGGAGACCTAGTCCATGCGCTTTACTGGAGTATAAACCTGTACCACACACACACCCGGGCGCGAGGACCTTCCTGCGATGACAGATTCTAGGTTGTTTCTACTTTCCTGTCATTGTAGGAATTGCTGAAATGACCATCCATGTCCGTGTCTCTTTTTTTATTACCCATGTTTTTAATTGAAGTACAGTTGTGATAGTTTCAGGTGTATAGCAAATTGATTCAGTTTTATATATATATATATATATATATATATATACACACACACATATATATATATATATCCTTTTTCAGATTCTTTTCCCTTATAGGTTATTACGAGATACTGAATACAGTTCCCTGTGCTTTACGGTAGGACCTTGCTGCTTATCTATTTTATATACAATGGTGTGTATCTGCTAACCCCAAACTCCTAATCTATCCCCCCTCTTTGGTGACCATAAGTTTGTTTTCTGTGTCTGTGAGTCTCTTTCTGTTTCGTAAGTAAGTTCATTTGCACCATTTTTCTTAGATTCCACACATAAGTGATACCATATGGTATTTTTCTTTCTGACTTACTTGCTTAGTAGGATAGTCTCTAGGTCCATCCATGTTGCTGCAAATGGCGTTATTTCATTCCTTTTTATGGCTGAGTAGTATTCCATTGTACATATGTACCACATCTTCTTTATCCATTCATCTGTCCATGGACATTTAGGTTGTTTCCATGTCTTGGCTATAGTGAATAGTGCTGCTGTGAACACTGGGGTGCACGTATCTTCTTGAATCATAGTTTTTTCTGGATATGTGCCCAGGAGTGGGATTGCTGGATCATATGGTAACTCTATTTTTAGTTTTTCGAGGAACCTCCATACCGTTTTCCCTAGTAGCTGCACCAACTTACGTTCCCAGCAACAGTGTAGGAAGGTTCCCTTTTCTCCACACCCTGTCCAGCATTTGTTATTTGTAGACTTTTTGATGATGGCCATCCTGACCAGTGTAAGGTGGTACCTCATTGTAGTTTTGATTTGCATTTCTCTAATAATTAGCAATGTTGAGCGTCTTTCCATGTGCCTGTTGGCCATCTGTATATCTTCGTTGGAGAAATGTCTATTTAGGTCTTCTGTCCATTTTTTGAATGGGTTGTTTTTTTGATATTGAGCTGTATAAGCAGTTTGTTTATTTTGGAAATTAATCCCTCGTCAGTAGTATCACTTCCAAATATTTTCTCCCAGTCCGTAGGTCGTCTTTCCGTTTTGTTTATGGTTTCCTTTGCTGTGCAGAAGCTTTTAAGTTTAATTAGGTCCCATTTGTTTATTCTTGTTTTTTATTTCCATTACTCTAGGAGACAGAGCCACAAAGATCTTGCTGTGATTTACGTCAAAGAGTGTCCTGCCTATGTTTTCCTCTAGGAGTTTTATACTATCTGGTCTTACATTTAGGTCGTTAATCCATTTGGAGGGTTTTTGTGTGTGATGTTAGGGAGTGTTCTAACTCCATTCTTTTCCATGCAGCCGTCCAGCTTTCCCAGCATCACTTATTGAAGAGGCTGTCTTTTCTCCATTGTATATTCTTTTTTTTTTTTTTTTTTTTTTATAATTCTTTCAACCCCTTTTTTTTTGTTTGTTTTGTTTTGTTGTTCCATTGTATATTCTTGTCTCCTTGACGCCTCTGCACCCACAAAAGTGCACCTGCTTCTTCTCCTTCTCACTCCAAAGGTTCTTAGAAAAGGAGGCTAAGCCTCACGCACCACCTGCACCCAGAAGTCCAGTCTGGGGTTTTTAAGGCTGTGATGTTCCCGCAGGAACTTCTGCTGGACGGTTATTTCCCGCGGTTCCCAGGGCCTTAGCGCTTAGACGTCACTCACCCTCCCAAGCGGGTCCACTCCCTGTCCTTAAGGGGAGCTGCTAGACACACACTGATTCATATTCCAACTGATTAAAATGACATAAAATTAAAATTCTCAAGTGTTCCACACGGATACGGAACACCTGCATCGCTGCCAAAAGTTCTACTGGGAAGGCTGGTCCAGAATGATACGTCGTCGTCGTGTATGTCAAAGCAACTTCAAAACGCTGAAAATCTTCTGCAGGAGAGAACCTGTTGACACTCCCAACGGTCAATGGAAATGTGGCCGACGTGTCTCTCAGATCCCAGGACAAGAAAAGCGGGGGGCACACGAGAACCCCCATGGAGGAAAACCCAAACAGGTCAGGAAAGACGCTCAACACAGCTCCAAATGGACCAACGTGGAGAGAATGGCGTTGATGGTAGAGAGACAGACATGCAAAGCACGGATGGATGGAGGGCAGACACTGTGTGTGTGTGTGTGTGTGTGTGTGTGTGTGTGTGTGTGTGTGTTCGTGGGCACGTACATGCTTGCATACACGATGCATCTGTGTGTGCATGTGTGTGTGTGTGGGCGCACTGCACAGGTGTGAGCGTGCATGTGTGTCCCAAACTTGCAGGGCATGTGGAAACGGCTGGGCCGCAGCCCCGGGCGGCCAGGTCGGGGGCACGCACCCAGGATGGAGACCTTGCTGAGAAACTCCTCGTACATCCTGCGCTTCCTCAGCGTGCTGCCCTGTGAGAGGGGAAGACACAGAGAAGCAGGTGTTCAGAAGGGCTTCCCACCCCAACCCCTTCCACATTCCCAAATTCCCCAAGTGACTCTGAACTCCTAAAAGGAGACCCCAGAAGCCCCTCGAACAAGCAAGGGCCTGAGTGACGGACCCCGTTCACGGCCCAGACCTCCCCGCACCTCCCCCTCCGGGGTCTCCGTCCTAATCGCACATGTGAGGTTGGGCCTCATCCAGACCCACGGGATGGGGGGAGCCAGGAGGCCTGAACCTCAAGCGGGTTCAGAAGCCCCGGGTTCAAATCCCACCCCTCACTCCGTATCCGCACGCCCCGAGCCAGCTCCCCCTCTCTGAGCCTCAGTTTCCTCATCTGGACGATGGGGTATCTTAATTCCTGTCCCACAGGATTCTGTGAAAGTTACGCGAGCAGACATCGGTCAGCTGACATGGTGTGAGGACCTCGGCACCGCCCCCCGACCCGGCCTCAGACTCCCCGTCGGCTCTGCGTGGCTCAGGGCCAGACCAGCGTTAAAGAGGCTGCGAGTCTCGAATCTGGAATCCTGGAGGTTCTCCCTGCCTCCCTCACAGAAGCGCAGACACCCCAGGGCCCCTCCATCCGGCAAAGAGCCCCACGGGGCTGGGACCCAAGACCACAAGGTAACTGGACCCACAGGGTGTAGACGGAGCTCCTGCACCGCGGCTGGCGGCCACGGAGGGGACACGGCGTCCTGGCGGTCAGTGGCAGAACCTAGGAGTCTTGGGGCCCTGTGTGTCAGCTTGCGGCGGGTCTAGACGCCTGCGGTGGCAGCAAGCTCAGCTCAGCTCAGCCCCCAGCCCGAGCCGAGCCGTCTCAGGCCCCGCCGGCCTCGAGAAAGGCGTTTCTTTTGAAAGATAATTTATATTCCCGCTGACCTCCCAGCAGCTACGCCCACCCGCTGGAATGCAGGCGTGTTTGCCCAGGAACCCTAGACATTAAAGCTCGGCACAACTGGCCCATCCATCTCCCGCTGCAGGATGACAGCTGGAGGTGGCCACCCGGGACCCTCGGGCAAGGAGATCCGCCTCCAAGGCTGACCAAGGCGCCTCCCGCTGGAGGCTTTCCTCCTGGGATGAGACGGACGGGGAGGCAGGGCCGGGAGCCCCCGCTGTCGGTTCATGCATCACGCAGGTGTCCGGGGCGCCGGCCCGTCACCTTGGGGGCTGCCAGGACCCTCACCTGGGGGGCTTTGCAGCGCATCTGCCGGCAGCCCCAAAGTGGGCTTTGTGCCTGGTGAGGCTGGCCCTACGTACAACTCCCGTCACAGGTATGGGGCCTGCCCAAGGCCACACTGAGGGAAGGAGCCAGCGGGGCCTGGAACCCTCGTCCCCATGGATGCTTGCAGAGGACCCACGCTGGTGGCGGGGGGCACGGGGCCTGGTCCGGCTCAGCTCCGCCCATCTCCCTGGTTCCTGCAGCCTCGGTTTCCACATCTCTGTGCTGGGGTCCCGTCGGGCCGACTTTGAGGAACAGAGACCGCAGAGAAAGACCATCTACGTCCCACCACAGCGCTGGCCACTCCTCACGTGCCCCTCCCCCCGCAGGGCAGTAGAGCGGCGCCCTCACCTGACGCGCCCTCACCTGACCCGGGACAGATGGATGGGGATGCGTGGGCAGGGCAGGGAGGGGAAGACAGCACTTCCTGACCTCCCACCTCACCGCCAGCAGCGGGGCCTGGAACCTCACTTCGGGCCGCTTGCAGCTGGAGACACGGCCCCGCCCCCAGCCCCACCCCACTGGCGCAGGCGTGAGGCCAGCCCGGAACCCCGATGCCCAACGTGAGGCTTCTTCTGTTGCACCTTCCACTGTACCCCGCTGTCCCCGGGGAAGCGTTCTGTCCTAAGACTGGAACCTAAAATGTCTGCGAAATCCAGGCCCCCACCACCCCCCAGGCCCCACCTGCGTGGACTGAGCCGGCCCCAAGGACGGGTTGGGGACCCGGGTCCCAGCAGACAGCAGGGCTCTGGCCGTAGCACACACACCCCTGGGTATAGAGTGTTCACAGCGGGCCTGCCCCCGGGCCGCAGCTCGGGGGAGGGTGCAAACCCGCCAGGTGGAGGAGGAATCTACGTCGGGTAAGATGACCCTTCGACCTGGACCGACCACTCCAAACGCCCTTTCCCCTTACGTGTTCAATCCTGACCGGCCCTGCAGCCATGGACTGAAGCACACACGTGCACACACACACACCCCGCCCCAGCTCCCACGAGAAGGGGGTCCCAGGCTCCTGCTGCCCCACTTCATGGATGGGAGCCAGGGGCCCAAGCAGGTGGGGTGGGAGCTCAGCGCTGCGGCTCAGGACCTGGTTCCGGGGGTCTCGGGACCCCCAGGCAAGTGGGGCTCTGGAGACCCCAGCCCAGACTCCACAACAGGATTTTGCACTCATCAATCCCCATTTGGGGTCTCACGCAAGATTCAGGGTGAACGAAAGGTACTGAAGCTTGAAAGAATGAAGTCCGGGGTCGCTGGCCCCTGCCTGGGGGCCCGGAGGGGGTTGAGCCCCCGTCCTGCTCAGAGGTGGTGCACGCGGCTGGCCTCGCCAAGCTCCATCCATCCATCCGTCTGTCTGTCTGTCTGTAGCATGTGGAGCAGCGGAGCCTCTCGGGTCCGATGTTCTGGGATTCAGAGGTGGGTGGCCCTCTCCCTGGAGACACTACCAGCCTCCATCCCGCGTCCCCCACGCGTGTCCAGCTCAGGGTCCAGTCGTCGCACGATGGGTGCATCTGAGTCCGCCCAAGCCACGGGCTGATGCAGCGATGGACGCCGTCCATGGACACTCCCTTCCGAGTGGGCCACACTGTCATTTTCTTCCCAAGATGCAGGGGCTCTGTAGGCTCCCAGCGCAGCCGCGGCTATTCTTAGTGCGCAGGGATCCAGAATTAAAACAGAGGACGCGCCAGCTGCTCGGTGGTTGGGGAACTTCCCTGAAGGTACTGTTCCAGCCACGAAAGTCCCACAGCCAAGGACGACTCCGACTCAGCGCGGACCATGGCGGAGAAACAACGGCTTATGCAACGGGCCAGGTGCATCCAGAGGAGACAGGGACGGGGAGGGTGCCTGGGGCGCCTCCCCCACAGACAGTGATCTCTCCCGGAGAAAACAGGAATGGGCAGGTTTAAGACCAAAGAGCGGGAGCCGCATTCCACGAGGACTCACCTCGCAGGGCAGGGCAGGGCAGCGCCTCCCCCAGCGGATGACCCCGAGGGCGCAGACGACGAGCCGCAGGAGACAGATGCCCCCGGGACTGAACTGGCCCCTCCCTGCATCAGGAAGGACCAGGAGCTACAGCGGAGCCAGGACGGCAGCCGGCAACCCTTTCTCCCCCGTTCCCCTTTGGAGAGGCCCCCGGGGCAGGACCGGCTCTCCAGGCTCAGCTGGGACTGAGCTCACAGAGCCTGTCCTAAACATCCCAAACCTTCCCCAGGCCTCCCCCAGAGCATCCCAAACCACAGCCCGCACCCCAGAAACTGCACCGCCCAGGCTGGCCTTCAGGCGACAACCAAGGCCCAAAGGGCACCTGGCAGCGGCACGTCCAGCCCCGGGGTCTCCCAGCAATGTGCTCACCTGGGTCACCTCCCTCCAGGCCGTCGGAACTCCTCGGATCCCAGGCCCACAGGGGCAGCCTTTGAGCAAACACCATCGCCAGCCCCTGGGGGCTGCCCTCAGGAATGAGCCCACCCCCGCCCAGGTCCTCCAGCACCACCCCTGACCAGCAGAAAAGCACCTGGCCCAGCGGTCACCACCGGCGAGCACGGACAGCCAAGGAGTGTGACTTCCGCGAGGACGGGGCACTCAGCTCCCAGGGGCCTCTGCCCGGAGACCTGCGGCCAGACCAGAGTGGCCAGCCAGGACCTCCCTCCACCCCTCCCGAATCGGGACTCTCTCCACTCTCACCCAGAAGGCCCCCAAGTGCCAGGGCATCACCTGGGCGGCTCCTGCCACTTCTCTGCCCACAATCCTGCCAGGGCTCCCGGTGCACTCAGAGTCCGAGTCCAGGCCCCCGCCCCACCCACCACAGGATCCCAGCATCCTCACTGTCTCCCCACTGGTCCACGAACAGGCCAGCCAGGCCTGCACCCCAGGGCCCTTGCACTGGCTGTTTCTACTGCCCGAACACTCTCCCCCTGGACAGCCAAGGGCTCCCTGCTCCGGGCCTCTGCTCGACACCACCTCGTCACAAAAGGGGTCTCAGGGAGGGGGGCCCCAGGGCTTTCTTTAGAACATCACCTCCCCGCCCCCACCTCTGCCCCTCTCTGCTCTATCATTCTCCGTGGAAACTGTCAACAGGAGGTGTATGTTTGCTCCGTCATCTCCTCCAGCGTGTCAGCCTCCCAGTCCCCTGGCGGGTCCCAGCACCGAGAACCCGGCAGTGCGTGTGCAGGACGGACACTCAGCGGGCACGGGAAGATCCCGCCTCTTCTGCCTGGGAGGGGCCTTCTCGGCGCACAGGCTCATCTCCGGAGCCTTCCGTGAACACCTGCCCCGTTGCTCCCGAGAGCCCCACGGCGAGCCTCCACAGGTGTGCGCACCTACACCCGCACCATGCCAACTAAGACAGGAGCTGGCTGCGTGTGAGGAAACCTAAAATGACAGTCCCCAAGTAAGGAATCCTAGAGGCCAGCAGCCTGCCCGGTACTGCGGTCCCACTGTGCCCCCAGAGGCCAGGCTCCTCTCAGTGATTCGCTCCACCACCTTGGGGAACGTCACCTCATGGTCAAGAATGGCAGTTGGAACTCCAGCCATCACAACCACATTCCAGACAGTTGCAAGGAGAATGGGGGAGGAAAGCACAAGGGGCTTCCCCAGCTGTGTGCCTGCCTTTGGGTAACTTTCCTGAACGCCCTCCCGACACTCGCCACCCACCGCATCCCTACTTATGGCCCCACCTGGACACAACCAGGGTTCCCGCGAGATGCCTGGTGGGCATCAGACTTGGCTGGCTGCCCTCCCAGCCCTGGCGAAGCCTCCACGCAGGCACCGCTCACTCACCATGAGGATGCGCCGGTAGCTGTCCCGGTCGATGCCCCAGAGCTTGAGGTCCGTCTTGGCCTTCACAGTCGCCGCCCTGGGGGTGCCGTAGATGAGGGCCAGCTCCCCGAAGCTGCCGCCTTCACTGATGCTGGTCACCCACTCTCCGCTCACATACACCTTCGGGGAACAGGGGGACAGCGTCACAGGGCTGGGGCCACCCACCCTCTGTCCACATACACCTTTGGGGGACAGAGGGACAGCGTCATGGGGGCCTGGGGTTACACTGCTGCTTCCTGTGCAGGGAGCCCTCCGTTCCATCCCCCAGGAAGGCACAAGGCTGCTGCAGCCCCAGATCCCTTGCAGGCGGGCAGAACTCGGCACTGCCCTGCCCAGGTCCAGGATCGGCCAAGGCGCCTGCCTCACGCCCAGCCCTGCCCAGAGCCGAGGCTGGACGGGCACAAAGGCGGAGGCCCTCAGCGGTCAGTGCAGACGAGACTGGCCAGGCCCCAGCTGGACGCACTGCTGCGGCTCCCAGTCCGCAGGAGAGCGAGTCCCACCACCTCCCAGGTCGGCCTGTGACTCAGCTCCTCACAGACTAGAGGTGGGCTGTGCACCTGGGCCTCGGGCTCCCTGACTGCACACCAGCGAGTCACCCCTGCCATGGCGCTCTCGCCCCACCCGTGCGGGCCCCTCCACTTCGTTCACAGACAGCCCTCCCTGCCGTTCCTGCTGCCTGAGGCTCCGGGGAGCAGCCCGGCCCCGGGCCCACCTCCACCGGCAGGCCCCACGGCCGGGAAGAAGCCAGGCTCCCCGGGCCTCCCCAGGGCCTCCGCTCCCCGCGGGCAGCACCCAATGCCCGGGCCTGCGGTCAATGGGAGCGGAGGCTGGCGCCGAGGGCCGAGCCCAGAAGGCGGACAAGATTCCCTTTCAGCCTGGGAGGGCGGCGCCCGCCGCACAGTGTCCCTACTATCCAGGGACCACACGTCCGCATCCTGCAAGAATGGCCCGGATTGTTTATTATGCAGATTCGCTTACTATAAATTAACACAACCACTGTTCATTCCCTCGATGTCAATGAGCTTAAAGAATGGTTCCCATTGGCAGAAAGCATGCATGTCGGGAAAGAATGGATTGCGATGAATCATGGGAGCAATTCTTATGGAATCAATGACTCATTATCCTGATAATAACCGAGGCACAGAATTGCCAGCCTGCGGGGCACCACGCAGGTGATAACGGAGTCCGGTGTGAGCAAGCCTGGGGAGCAGTGGCCAGCCTGCCCACAAGGTGTCAGGGGAATGGAGATGACAGTTTACAGAGCGACCCGGGGCCTGTGCCTCTGTCCCCGCGAGCCCCTGCCCGCCCAGCGAGCCTGCACGACGCCCCTGCCGGGTGTCGGGGAGGAGAGACGCCAGCTTCCACTCAGCAAGGCCCTCGAGGAATCAGGGCGACGCCCATCCTTCCCACGAGGCAGGGAGTGTGTCCGCCCGGCTGTGCCCCGAGATGCTCCCCCCCACAGAGAGCACCCCCAGAGAGGCCACCTGTGGTTTTCTCAAAGGGGACCAGAGTCTGTGGAGGGGCAGTCACGGTGACCCAGGCTCGGCCGGGCTGGCCCCAGCTCCCCTCGCGGCTGGTCCTCCGTTCACAGGGCTTGTATGTTTGTAAAATCCTCTCTGCGTGGATACAACTCTCAAACCTTAACCTGTACGACCCTAAGCGGGCAGCGCAGTGAGTCTCCCCACCACTCAGGTCAGGGCGCGGGACGTTTCCAGGTGCCAGGAACTCCCGGGGCCCCTCGAGGGCTCAGGTGCCTTCAGATGACCGCGGTGCGGCTGAAAGGAACCCCAGCACGTCCTTCTGTGCCAGGCGAGTCTGAGCGCTGGGTCCAGTCCGTCTGTTCTCACTGCCGCACCGCCGCTCCCCAGGCTGTGGGTGACGGACGCCGTCTAGTTTCAGCTCTGATTCCAAAGGGGGCCTCGAACCTTCTCGCGTGTGACTAAACGCCCTCACTCTCGTGGGTGATGCAGGGGGTGGGGGTGGCACTGGTGGCGTCACGGGGGTATCCGCGCGATCTGCTGAACGCCGTCTCCCCAGGCTGCACCAGCCGGCCCTCCCCTGGCGCCCGCGCCTGCTCCCTCGGTGCAGGGACACCACAGTGACGTGGGCTCAGAGGACCACGGATCTCGAGTTGGGAGCCTCGCCGGACATACAGAGCCTGGGGAGGGTGTGCAGCCTCCCGGCTCCCACCTCAGGGGGAGAAGGAACCACCGCCTCGGATGGCTGCCGGGGGGCAGGCCACCCCCATCGCCCGCCAAATAGCACAGGGTCCCCCAGGGAACAGGGTAGGTGGCTTAGGAGAGGCGCCAGCAGCGGCTGCATCTCCACTTCCCAGGGTGTGGCCCCAAAGAGCACGTGGGCAGCTGCCGCTGCAGGGCACACAGGACCGAGGGCACCTGGGCCGGAGCGCGCCACCGGGGGCCATGAGGACCCTTCCTCACCGAGGTCTCGACAGCGTCCTCAGAGGCGTCAGAGAAGAGCATTGTGCAGAGCCGAGGCCGGGCAGGGCCGCCCCTCGGAGCACAAAGGGCCATCCTTCTCGGACACTGGCCTCTGTCACCACGGCCGCACAGTGCCCGGCCCCACCCCAGCTGGCACGCAAAGGGGCTACTTCATGCTTTGTTTCCTTTTTGTTTTTCCTTCTTTTAAAGAGAAGTGGTGGGAGGCCCTACTGGGCTACGTCTGTGCTCCCGCCGCTGCCTCGGCTTCTCCGGCTGAGCCCAGAGCTCCCGCCCCGCTGATCTTCGTTCATTCGCTCACTCGCTGTCACCCCCGTGTCGCCCCCAGCAACCTGGGTGTCCTGCACGCTCTACCTGCTGGGTTCAGCGGTTTGCAGCGTGCGGATTCCTGTTCACCGGGACTCACCGGCCGGCCGGTTGGTGCTCACCACACTAGCGTTATGTCATGGAAACAAGCGCAGGCCCTGAAGAGAAGGGAAGGCAGAGCCGTAGTCCAGACCGTGCAGAGAGGGCTTCTGAAGAGGTGACTTCGAGCCCAGCATGAGGGGCCCCCTGAAGAGACCAGGGGGAAGAGCTCTGAGGCGGGGGAACAGGACGAGCCAAGGCCCTGAGGCAGGACTGAACTCGGAGGGCACTGGGTACAGCAAGGCCACACAGGGAGATGTTCGTCTCAGGACCAGAAGGTTCCAGCACGGCTGAGGCCAGGTTCACATCTGGGAGGCTCCCCCTGCTGCAGCTGGAGCCCAGCTCAGGGCGGCGGGAGGGGAGCAGGGAGGAGCGAGGGGCGTCCCAGAAACACAGCCTTCGACCACGTTACTCAACAGGTGGTGTGCGGACCAGGTGCACAGCACCACCTGGGAACCTGCGGAAACCCAGGTGCACGCCCCCCTCCCCGCCCAACCCCCGACAACGACCGACTGGATCAGACCCCCAGGGGTGCAGCCCAGAGGCCAGGACCTCAGCAGGTGATGCTGACGCCTGCCCACGATGGATCAGCTCTGATTCGACTTTGGACGGAGGTGGAGACGGTGACTGATTGGGTCGAAAGCACAAGAATCTGCTTAGTGAGACCCCAGAAGCAGCATCACAGGTAGCACTGCGTTCCCGTCAAGGGAGACCTGAGATGGGGACCTCGGCCCCGCCAAAGCAGACGAGCAGCTGGGAACGCCAGGGGGGCCGCCTCCCCGCCTGCCCCCAAACCCGGGACACTTCGGTCCAACACTCGACTCCACAGAAAACAGAAATTCAATTGAAATAACTGTTGGGTGAGCGGAGACAGAATCACTCACTGAGTTATCCACTACACTGGGTGGGGGGGTCCTGCGGCCTCAGCCCCCCTGCCCCCCGCAGCCACTTCCCACGCAACCCGGAGCCGCCCGGGCAAGGAAGCGAGTAGGGCGTGCCAGCCGCTGTTGTTTTTGGTTTCACAGATGGTGAGAAAAAGCTACTGGCCCAGCTCCCAGGCTCCGGCCACAAAGAGATGGGGCGTCCAAGCAGGTGAGCCTGTGCAGGTGAGTCCAGGTATGTCGGCGGCGCTTCTCAGGTAAACCCGGTTCCGAGCCTCAACCCTCTTTAGCCCAAAACACCTGGGGAAAGTCGACTGTCTGGTTTTGCTTGAGGCAACTCCTCCCAGAGACTCCCTCCCAGCTCCCCGTCTGTGGGGCCCGGGTCACGTGGACCAGCCCCACGGGGTCAGCAGCCACTCCTCAGGGGTGGCCAGCCGCCAGCCAGGTTCCCTCCTCGGAACCCGCCACACCTGGGCCTCCTCCCGCCCTCCGCTCACAGACATCACGCTCTGCGAGGTCCCACGAGGCAGGGTCCCATCAGGATCCCACTTCCGGGGTGACCACGCGCCCCGTCAAGGGCCCGCTGTGGGGTGTGCACGAGGACCGGTCCCCTCCCCGAGCTGTCATCACATTACCACCACCACACAGGGGGCGGGTCACCTGTCCGTGATTCCAGAGCAGGCTCTGGCCACAGTAGGGCCGCCAGGACCTCTGTAGGGAACCAAGAGGGGTGCTGGGCCCCCAGACACACCCTGTGGGTGAGATGCTGCAGGAAAGCTTCACAGCCGGCTCGGGGCCACGGCCACCCAGCGCCCAGGAGTGGCCGGTCAGCAGAGAGCGCCTGAGAGGACGCCCAGGTCCCTGCACAGCCCGTCGTCCACAGCAGCACGGCTCAGGGTGGCAGCCACAAAGGCGGGCACGACAGGTAAACGGATAAAAGAGACGTGGCCATCCATGCAGTGGAATGTGACTCAGCCTTAAAAAGGGAGGAAACTCTGACACTTGCTACAACATGGATGAGCCCTGAGGACGTGACGGTCAGTGAGCTGAGCCAGATCCAGGAGGACAGACCCTGTGCGGTTCCACTTCTGAGGTCCCTGGAGGCGTCAGGGTCGCAGAGACGGCAAGAGAGGCTGGGGGCCCGGGGCTGGGGGTTAGTGTTCAATGGGGACAGAGTCTCAGTTTGGGAAGATGAGGAAGTTCTGGAGATGACGGTGGTGACGCTGCAACAGCGTGATGTGCTTAATGCCCCCGAACCAGACACTGAAAATGGTTAGGACGGCAACTGTTACGTTACGTGTACTTTACCAAGTGAAAAAAAACACAGACCACCGGGCAAGCAGACTGGCGGGCCGTGACCCGCGGAGCCGGACAGCCTGGGTGCCCCTCCCACCTCTGGAGACGTCTCCTCACAGGCGTCTCGTGAAACAGGGGGAGCCCTGGGCGGGGGGTGCTGGGGCCTGGGGTGGGGTAGACCCCCCCCAAGGAGGCCCTGAAGCACCAGAGGCCTGGAAGCATCGGGGAGGAAGCGTGCTCCTGAGCCTGTAAGGTCAGCCGAGGAGTGTCCTTCCAGTGGAAATGCTACGTTCCACGAATAAAACAAATTGGGAGATATTTTTACACTTAGGAAAACGGATTATAGCTCTCAGCGACACACACACCGCAGCCAGCACTCTCCGCGTCTCTCTGGAAAACCGTAATTTAAACCAAGCTGGTGTTTTTGGCATCCGGTCACCTGGCCGTCGCCCGCCCCCCCCAGGGCGCCGTTGGTCAGAGGGCAGAAGGGGGGCTCTGGATGACCACCCCCAAACCATGCCTGTTTAAAGGCCAGGATGGGGCCTTCGAGGGGAGCCCACGTGCTGGGGGCTTCAGGGCAACAGTGTGACGGACACAGTCTCCACTCCCGCCACCCTCACAGGATGGGCCTCACTCAAGCCTTAAAAGCCACCCTCGGAACCCTCACAAGCGGCCAGTCCCTGGTCAGGGTCACTCCCCTGCTCCCCAGAAAGGAGCAAACAAAACACGGCTCCAGGCCTGGGAGAAGCTGCAGCTTCGCACCCAGAGCGGCGCTAAGAGTCATCAGAATGCGTGCTGGCAGCCAGCAGCCCACTTTCTCGCCCCGGGCTCCTGATTGAGCACCTTCTGATTCCTTTAGACGCGGCCTCACCCACAAGGCCCAGGCCCTGCATGTTTATCGTGCGCTCACGCCCACATCACAGGAGCTCCCTCTGCAGGCTCCCTCGCCCCGCCCGGCCCTCCCACGCCCACCAGCAGCTGGAAACTCTGATGAGACTGACGGAGGGGCGGCCCCCAAGTCGCCGCCTTGTCCCATCCGGGCTGACTGTCCCGAATTGGAGAGTCAGCCAGAAAGTGGCATCCACCCACAGTGCCCAGGCATCCGGGCTCAGGCATCTCACAGCTGCCTTCGTACCTGAGCCGCTGCGGGGAGGGCTGGACCTGCCTGTAACCCCAGTTACAGCAAGTGACCCCACTTCCCTGTCACACGGTCGCCTCCCCATGTCCCCCGCCTGGAGAGACCTGGCTCGGTGACTGACACCCCTGGGGGCCGGGAGGGGTCCTGCCCAGACAAGTGGGCCAAGCCAGCCCCTCCCCTCACTCACAGATGGAGGTGCGGGCCAGCAGGTGAGAGCACCTGGCACTCTACAGTTTGCTGGGACAGGGGTCCTGAGTCCGGATGGGGCGAGTGGACAATGACACCCAGGGCTGAGCAGTTGGGGCCAAGGGGCCTGTCTCGGGGGACAGCCCCCGCCCCACCCCCCCGGGCCCACTACCCATCAGGTAGGGTTCCCGCCAGTGCTCAGCCCTGTGGCCGGTTCCAGCATCTCCGCTCAGGCAGTGGTGGGTCCAGTGGGCGCCCGCCTCTCACACCCTCCTGTGTGCTCACACCTTCAGAGGGGAGGTGGCCGCCAGCACCTGGGGCCATTCCTCCTTGCAAGGGAGAGGGCATCTTCACTGTGCACGGGGTCTGCCGAGGAGGGTGGTGGCAGGTGGATTAATGGGGACAGAGGGCAGGGCAGACGTACTGGGGGCACCCACAGGGCCTCCACCTGCCCCCGCGTGTGGAGTAACACAGATGCTGCCACTCCGGGCAGGAGGGCCCAGGCCCAGGCAGCAGCCAGGTAACCTCAAGGCTTGGGTCTCGCATCTGCGTGGAGCACACCAGCCAGGGAGGCGCATCTCACGGGACCCCGACGGTGGGCCCTCGAGGCTCCTCGAAAGACAAGGACAGGGCTCTGGGCCCAAGGTCAGCCGCCCCTGCATCTGCTCGCTGGGGAGAACCCAGCCTCCGACGTGCCAACCCCAGGGTCATTTCAACTCTCACTTAGCCACATGCTCTGGTGACATGAGTCGGCACTTTGGCAACATCTTCGGGATTGAACTAGAGGAGTCGTGTGACTCCAAGGAAAGCAGAAGACGGAGGACATTCCGGGGGCTGGAAAGCAGGACCCAATCTTTGTGGGACCCTGTGCACGAGCGAGAGCCCCGATCTCGGTCGTCAGCCCAGTGGCTCTGCCTGGGTGGGGTCTCAAAGGATGCATAGAAGTTTGCAAGTCAGAGCAGGAATAAGAACAGAGGGAAAGGACGGGTAGAGGCTCAGAGGCAAGATGCACACTGGGAATGCCCTTCCAGGGTGTCTCCCCGACGACCATGAACCCCAAGGGCAGGGGCCGCGTCCCCAAAGGCGTATCCTCAGGGCTTTGTAAGTGGCCAGCACACGAGTGCTCAATTGACATTTGAGCAAGAAAACAAGAAAGGGGGGGCTTCCCTGGTGGCGCAGATGGTTGAGAATCCGCCTGCCAACGCAGGGCACACGGGTTCAAGCCCTGGTCCGGGAAGATCCCACATGCCGCGGAGCAACTAAGCCCGTGCGCCACAACTACTGAGCCTGCACTCTAGAGCCCGCGAGCCACAACTACTGAGCCTGCACTCTAGAGCCCGCAAGCCATAACTACTGAGCCCACGTGCCACAACTACTGAAGCCCGTGCTCCGCAACAAGAGAAGCCACCGCAATGAGAAACCCGCGCACCACAACGAAGAGTAGCCCCTGCTCGCCACAACTAGAGCAATGAAGACGCAACGCAGCCAAAACTAAATAAATAAATTTATTAAAAAAGGGAAGAAAACAAGAAAGGGACGGAGGACGGGGGACAGGATGGAGAGTGGTGACAGCAGAGGGACCGAGGTGCAGAAGAAGCCCACACAGGGGTCAGGGCCCGAGGAAGGACCCGGACCTGAGCCTGGAGCCAGCCGACCCCTCAGCCCCTCTGAAGGGGGCAGCTCTGGAGACACCGGGACGCGGCAGCCTCGTCAGTCTCCTCTGCTTCCTGGGCTGGTGTTGTTTTAACCCAACGCGAAGCCCACAGGAGGTGGCTCTGCTGGCAGCCTGAGCCCGGGTTGGGGCCGCAGCCCGCGCTCACCCTCCATCTGCCACCCGCTCTGCGGCCGTGGCCGCCCCAGGCCCGCAGCTCCTGCCTCAGTTTCCGCCTGTGGTGTGAGACAGAACAGCCCTCGACCCCAGAGGCCTGGTCCAGGCCCCCCCGCTCAGGACGGACAGAAACTCCGACTCCGTGTGCCGCTCGCCCTGAGGTCCTCGTGGTGAGTCACTTCCTGTGCCACCAGCTCCGGAAGCCAAGGGCCGCCCGCCGGTTCCCAGAACACGCGACCACATGGACGCAGACGTACTGCTGGCGGAACAAGTGATCAAATGCCCCCCCAGCCCCTCCACAATGGCCTGGCAGTTCCAGAAGCCGAGCCCTGAGAACTGGGCTGGGTCAGTGCACCAGGGCGGCACTGCCAGACAGCAGCGGGAACCCCACCTCATGGGGGCTCGGACTGTGGGGGTGGCGTGTGGAGACCGCCAGTGGCCCATCCCTGCCCCGTCCCCAGCACTGGCATCCTGGGCCCGGAGCTGGCTCGGGGGCTCCTTGGATGTGCCCCGATAGTGCCGGGACTGTGGAGTCCAGAACCCCAGGACAGGCTCAGTCCCGAGCCCGGGGCGTGGGGGCCAGTCTGCCGCGGGGGCCGGCCTTGACCAGACGCTCCTGGGAACAGGTGCACAAGCTGGACCGAATCAGGGCCACAGAGGAAACCTTGGGGGTAGATGCACTGCTAACGCCCAGCGGAGAGGATGACACTCATGGAGGCCGAGGGAGGAGGGGGAGGGGTGGGGCAGAGGGCAGCACAGGCCCAGCCCTGCATTTGGAGAAGCCCACGCGGGGGCCCCAGGCAAGGACACCGCCATCCAAGCAGGGTGGGCTCAGCCTGCGGGGGCAGGCGACCAAAGGAGGTGCACCTCCCTCCAGGTCGGAGCCTGGGTCCCTCACTCCTGAAGGCAGGAAGTAGGGGGAGGAAGCTGAACGAAATCAGGGAGCATCACATCCCTGGGACGGACGAAGCCTGGTTCCATCGTAAAGCCAGAGCCACAGGGCCTGTAGACGTTTAAAAAGCGTCAGCACCCAGCACGGCTGAGTGAGCCTGCTGGGCCGTGGGCTCCTGGCTGGGGCAGGGCTGGTCAATCGGGGCCCCGGGACCGCGGTCGGCTTGTGCAGGAAGCAGACGGCAACCGCCCTTCTTATTTCACTCTGTGCTCAGATATGCTTACAGTATCTTTTAAGTGAACTCTATCACTTCTGGATTGAAAAACCGGAAACACATCACTCAGAAAGACGTCTTCTAGCCCTGAGCTTGTGCGCAGAGACAGGAGTTATTTTCCAAAAACGGTTCAAGATACTTACGTCCACTTCCCCTTGGTCGATTACGTAGAAGTTATCCCCTTCGTCCCCTACAAGAAAAGGGAAACAGGACACGTGATGCAAGAATGCGAAGTTTTGTTTTTCTTGTAATAAACCACCTTTCGGCATTGCTTCATAGACCTCTGCTAGGCAGTACCAGGTCTCATCAATTTTAAAAAATCTTTAAATAAAAGCTGTATGTATGGGAGGTGCAGAACACGATGGCCTATTTCACACACGTAGGGAAACGGTTACTGCAGTCAGGCCAACAGGCACGTCCTCTCCTGACACCACCATCTGAAATCCACTCCCAGCATGTTGCCAGGACTCAGCACAGCTCCACCATGTTTTTAATAACAAGGAGGTTATCGAAACATATTAACATGTGTTAACTTGCTAAGTGGACTGTTCTGAAGTGTCATTAGTGGCTTTTCTCAAGACAATGAGAGTTTTGTATAATGTACATTTTTTTTAATGAATTTACTTATTTATTTGTTTTTAGTTTTGGCTGCGTTGGGTCCTCGTTGCTGTGTATGGGCTTCCTCTAGTTGAGGCAAGCAGGGGCTACTCTTCGTTTTGGTGCACGGGCTTCTCATTGTCATGGCTTCACTTGTTGCAGAGCATGGGCTCTAGGGCGCAGGCTCAGTAGTTGTGGCTCGTGGGCTCTAGAGCGCAGGCTCAGTAGTCGTGGCACACAGGCTTAGTTGCTCCGCGGCATGTGGGATCTTCCCGGACCAGAGCTCAAACCTGTGTCCGCTGTATCGGCAGGCGGATTCTTAACCACTGCGCCACCAGGGAAGCCCTAAATACACTTTTTAAGTGAATAACCCATTCTTCCCAGAGGGCTCTGGCCCCGGGGAGGAGCAGAAGGGGGCGTACCTTGCTGTATGACGGTCTCCCCAGCGATGTGCATGACGGGGAACATGGCATCGAATATGTCGCTGGAAAAGAAAGCACAGCATGGGGGTGCTGCAGGGGCACCAGGAGACCTGCCCCTCACGGGGCTTCCCACGGCTCCTGCCCAGGGGAGACGACGACCCCTGGGACCCGCTGTCCCTTGGTCATGACCTCCTGATCTGCACGTATCGGGGTTTCACAAAAATGGGCTCACACTCAGCAGACTCCACTTACAAAACGTAAAACAGATCGTGACTGTTTCCACGGGGACACGGCAACCAGTCCTGACCTGTTTTCTGCTTCTTCCCAGGTGAACACTTTGCATCTGAGGGTGCTGAGACACCAGATGCAGAAATGGGAAGAAACCAGGCTCTGTAACTGCTCCCTCGAGGGGCACAGAGGCCGACGAGGCTGGCTCGGGCTGTACCCGCCAGGCAGCCCGGCCGTTCCATCGCCCGAGTTTCGTGTGAGACAGACCCACAGGCAGGCTGGGAGGCGTGGGCTGCGGGCCAGGTGGGGACGCCCATCACCCAGGGCACGTGTGCATGTTGGTCCAGGACGCTTTATATCCTCGGGATGGCAACCGGATGCAGAGTCAGAGGTCAGGGTCTGGACCCAAAGTGCAATGACCACGCTCAGGGATGTGGCCCACCCCCAGGCACACGTTTCCCCAAAAGAGAAGCATGAAGCTGGGCCCCTCAGGCAGGAAATGCACCCTGGCAGTCAGGACGCCTGCCTGCTGCCCGCCTGCCTGTTTAAAAGGGGGATTTTTGGAAACCGGTCAGTGCAGGCGCCTCAGAGGAGCCCCAGGTGCCGGGCCCCGGGGAGGCAAAGGCAGGACCAGAGATCCACACAGCCCTGTGCTCGCCCGCTCCCAGGGCCCAGAAGACAGGAGTAAGTCTTAAGGCAGGTCCTTCCCCTCTATTTAAACATCTCTTTCTCCCTCTGGAGGAGGAGGAGGGCAGCACCCCAGGGGTCTGGCAGGTGACCGGAGGCTGCGGGGAGGAGCGGGGGGAGGGTGCAGGTGCACGTCAGGTCAGAGCTCGGCTCTCAGGCCTGGCCCACGTGGACGCCGTCCTTCCGTGCATGGCTAAGTCACGCTTCCACCTCCAGGCACGCCTGAGCCCCACCTGAGCCCCGCCTGCTGCCCCGATCCCTTGGTCTCCTGATCAGGAGGGAAAACGAGCCGCTGTCTGTCCTGAGATGCGTGGCCTGGGCCCAAGGCCTCTGTTTGAGCAGCACCCTCCCTCGTCTTGCTACAAGGGCCGGGGTCCTCAGACAGGCAGCCCTTCTGCTGCCTTGGCCTCCCGAAGACGGGGGTCCACTCCCAAGCCTAGAACTTTCCCCTTCACACCAGGGTGTGGCCTCCGATCGTCCACGTGGAACTGACGTTTTCAAATTCACATTCAAGGTGAGGTCTGACCCTTGAGGTCAAAACACCACAGACGAAGGGAAATGCAAATCAAAATCACGATGAGATAACACCTCACACCTGTCAGAATGGCCATCAGCAAAAAGAACACAAATAACAAATGTTGGGAAGGATGTGGAGAAAAGGGAATCCTCCTGCACTGTTGGTGGGAATGTAAACTGGTGCAGCCACTGTGGAGGACAGTATGGAAGTTCCTGAAAAAAACTAAAAACAGAGTTGTCATATGATCCAGAAATTCGACTCCTGAGTATATACCTGAAAAAAATGAAAACACTAATTTGAAAAGATACGTGCTCCCCAATGTTCACAGCAGCACTGTTTACAACAGCCAAGACACGGAAGCAACCCAAGTGCCCATCAACAGACGAGTGGATAAAGAAGATGGGGCACGTATATACGATGGAATATTACTCAGCCATAAAAAAGAATGAAAAATGCCATTTGCAGCAACATGGATGTAGTTGGAGGATATTATGCTAAGCGAAATAAGTCAGACAGACAAACACTATATGATCTCACTTATATATGAAATCTTAAAAATACAACAAACGAGTGAATATAACAAAAAAGCAGCCGACTCACAGATGTAGAGAACAAACCAGTGGCCACCAGTGGGGGGGGGGGCAAGACAGGGTGGGGGAGTAAGACGTACAAACTACTGTGTATAAAATAAATAAGCTACAGGGCTGTACTGAATTGTACAGGGAATACAGCCAGTGTTTCGTAGTAACTATAAATGGAATATAACAATTAAAAATTATGAATCACTGTGTCATACACCTGAAACATGTAATTTTGTTCATCAACAATACCTCAGTAAAAAAAAGAAAAACCCACTGATGAATCCCAACTTGATATATTTCTGAAAAAATCATGCAGACAGAGCTGTTCCGTTCTGGGCTTGCTATTTTCAGCCCAGAAGTAGTTTAAATGTTCATCGCAGCTAATTCCAACAACACAGACATTTTGGGTTTTGTTTATTTTAAATCCAAACCCCACTGCCCAAGCGCCATTTTAAAATACGGCTAATAAAAAGAAACGAAATTGAGCTATTTGCAGTGAGGTGGATGGACCTAGTCTGCCATACAGATACCGTATGCTAACCCACGTATGTGGAATCTAAAAAAAAAAAGGTTCTAATGAACCTAGGGACAGGACAGGACAGGAATAAAGATGCAGACGTAGAGAATGGACTTGAGGACACGGGGAGGGGGAAGGGTGAGCTGGGACAAAATGAGAGAGTGGCACTGACATATGTACACTACCAAATGTAAAATAGATAGCTAGTGGGAAGCAGCCGCATAGCATAGGGAGATCAGCTCGGTGCTCTGTGACCACCTAGAGGGGTGGGACAGGGAGGGTGGGAGGGAGACACAAGAGGGAGGAGATGTGGGGATGTATGTATACGTATAGCTGATTCACTCTGTGATACAGCAGAAACTAACACACCATTGTAAAGCAATTATACTCCAATAAAGATGTTAAAAAAATAAAATAAAGCTAATTCTTGACTTGCAAGTAAATGTTTAGAACACATCTTGCTGGTAAGTTACTTATTTTGACCTTGGAAACAAGACCTTCGAAGCTACAGTCAAGCCAGCAGCCAAGGCCACCGAAGCCTTCACTTCACGCTGACCTTAGCTAAGCAGCAAAGCGCCTCTGAAAACAATTCTAAGGCAAGAAGGGAAGCCACCAGCCAGGGTGGGGTGGGGGGGCGGTGTGCCTCCCTCGACCCTGAGATGCATCCGAGCCCTGGGGGTGGGCGCTGGGCGTGCCTGGTTCCCAGCTCCTGGTGGCATCCATCCCCCGGGAGGGCCACGTGGCCCCCAACACCTTCCGGGGTGTGATCAGTTCTGGGTGTCACCTGCTGTCCCCACCCTAGCAGAAGCCAGACCCTGGCCCTGAGGCCTCGGGGGTGTGAACACATTGCCATGGAAACCGGGCCTTCTCCCACAGGCCATCTCTTCAGAATGAGGGTGAAGAATGTTCTCTGATGGTCGGAGAACACCCACTCCTGGGGTGAAATACCAGCCAACTCCTTCCGGCTTCCGTGGTCTGACCTCAAACCTGCTCTAAGGGCGGGTGGCCTCCCAGATTAGACTGCGTGGGGCTGGGGACCAGGGGACGGTGTGGGATGGGCAGCCTCGTGTGGCCCCAAAGCCCACAGCCCAGCAGACTGGCCTTGCGGTGGCTCAGACCAGCCCAGGCTGTGCCGATGTCCCACCGCACTCACCAGCCATACCCCTCTCCCCTGCAGGAGGCAGGTGCCCCAGGGGTCCCAGGGTCTTGGGGTAAAGGCCCTGGAAGCTTGCCCATGGGGGCGTATCTTACAAAATGCCACTGTGCCCCCAAGCGACCAAGAAGATCGCCCGGGAAGGACTCACTCGCCAAAGTGCTGCGAAGCCCTGGTGGCCCACCCTCCACGCTGAGCCTCAGATACCGACTCTGCAGCTCACAGGGCCGCCGCAGACCCTTCCAGCACATAGCACGGGCAGGCCTGTCCACGGTCACTTGGCAGGGCCGCACGGACGTAGACCCCAGTTCTGGGACCAGCCCGGCACTCAGCCGGCCAGAGAGCACCAGCCTCCTTCTGGACGACGGGGCTGGTGGGAGAGACCAGGCGGCCCGCTGTGCTCCGGGTTCTAGGGAAGCAGAGCCCTTCCCACTCTCCCCGTCCTCCTCCTGGGACACCCCACCTCCGCCACCCTCTCTAACAGTGGGCACATGTCGGGGGGACAGACCTGGACCTCTCCCTCATCCCCCATCAGCCTCCGGCGCGGCCACCCGCTCAGCAGCAGACCCCAATGTTCCCGACGGAACCACAGACTGCATCTGGCCACGCCAGCATTTAGCGGGACCTACTAGCATCATAAACCTCAGATGCAGATTTGTGCCCCTGAGTTCATGACACTGGTGATCTGCTCTTGTTGACAATTTCTCCCCCTTCTACCCGCTTCCCCCGTCCCCCTCGCAATGGTGCTTGTTCTGAAATTTGAGGGATTTCCTTTTCATTGTATGCTTTCTCTCACAACATGGAATCTTGAGCTATATGCATGTACTTTAAATTTACCCCCAAACGGCATCGTGCTACAGATCCCACCCTGTTTCTTCCCTTTTTTCAGGAGCACATCTCGGCTTTACTCAGACTGCCTTCTCGCTGTGCCCTCATGTGGCAAAGAGCGAGCACGCGAGGCTCTCTGATGTCTTCTTATAAGGGCACTAATCCCACCATTGGGGGCCCAACCTCCTGACCTCACCTAAACCCAATCACCTCCCAAAGGCCTGCCTCCAAATGCCATCACACTGGGGCTTAGGGCTTCAGTAAGTAAATCTGGGGGACACGGTTCAGTCCACAGCAATTACCTTCTGCCAAATAGTATTTGGATTCATATTTAGGCCTTTTGTCCGTGAGGAAGGGGATCTGGTTTGTTCTTCCCCAGACGGTTAGCTAGTTTTCCCAACAACACCCATAATGGCTCCATCCTGGTATCACACTCACACAGCACACACTCTGTGTGTCTGTTATGGGCTGATTTGTGTGTCCCTCCAAATTCATATGAAATTCATACGATATGCTGAGCAGCTTTCTCTTGTGTTTTATTTTCTGGAGCA